GTCTCGTAAAATCTAGTTACCTCGTCAAATTTCATTAAATTTTGAGACAGTCAAATTTTTTACATTTTACGAGGCCATCAAGTCTCGGGTGACCCAAAAACAGAATTTTTGATAAAAATTTGAAAGTTAAAAAATAATTTAAGGCAAGTTAAAATAAAAATATTTTGAACTTGAACCTGTATAAAATTTAATCGTTTCGGGACGAAAACGGACCTGAAAAAAGAGGGTCGTGTGACACAATATGAGTCAAGTATTCTAAGACTATAAATAGAGGAAAAATCTAACTTTTACCCCATTTTTGTTCAACCGGTTAGCCGATAGAGAAGAGAGGGGAGAAAAAGAAATCTACATTCTCTTTATGATCTACAAAGCTCGGGTGTTCAAATTCACTTAGGGCAAGAACAAAAGTTGTTCTCCTCGCTAAGGGTTATGCGACCACACCAAAAACGATGAATTTCACTAAAATTCCAAAATTGAGCTTGGAGAAATCAAAAGTTTTGGGCGAAATTAGGATTCTTGAAAGCTTCTACCAACTGGTCACGCTTCAAGAGGTAGGATTCCCTCCTACTTAGGTTTATTTACAACCTAAAATGCTTATATGAAATGGGTATATTGATAGGATGTTATATCACTTGCCTATTGTGGTGGATTTAATGAAATGAGTATTGAAATCGGGTAGAGTGAATTCTATCTTGAATTGAGCATGTGAATTTGACACAATGTGATTCATGGAATTTGATATTATGTGGGCATATTATGTAATTATGTTATGCCTTGGGGATTAAGTGTGTTATTAGCATATGCTATGTGATAACATGCTTGTGAATTGTTGTTGGAAAGGAAATGTTGATATATGTGTATTGATATATTGGCATTGTGATAAATTTTGGTGATTATATGCATATGATATAATTGGCCATGGAACATGTATATATGTGGTTAAATTTGCTTCTATGACATTCACTACATATGGGGCATGATATTGATATTGTAATTGTGCATTACATTGCATTTGCACGGAAGTATCACAACAATGGGCATGAGACATAGGTATGGGGTACGGGTGTGTGCATGGTTGTCGTCAACACCACACTTGGTGGATGACTGGTGGGCTTGGGAAAGTTGGGTCAAAGGTCTAGCTGAGTCCCATGGTTTGCACGATAAATTGGTTTGGGGTTAGCAAGAAGGGCTAGAAGATCGCTCAGGTGCAAGACCCGCTAGTTGGGGTACACTCCCTTAGTTTGGTCCATAAAGTGTGTGGGTGTACGCGAAACTCTCGGTGGAAGTCTATAAATTCCGTGTGGGTTAGGTTACCCTTGGTGTAAGTCCATGAATAACCACCCCAAGAAAGACCCTAGATTTATAAATGTCATTTGATGTGCCACATAAATGACGGATTCTACACATTGGCATAACATGCGTTGTGGGAGTTGGTAAGGGCTCGAGTTCAAGGGCATGAGTGAGTCTCATTTCATTTTATGGCATGACATGATAGAAAATCCAACATTGAATTGCATATTCTTGTTTGAAATATTTGTCGCTTGTTAGATGTTACATGTGAGCATTGCATATGCACTTAGTTTGGGGAGCAGCATCTGTAGGAAATACTCTACTGGGCATGACTCACTTATATGAGAAAATTTTTTAGGTACGGGAGGTATGCCGGTGGATAGCTCACATCTGGGGCCTCGAGGATGAAGAGAGGCCAACTTGTGGCCTTTAACCTTGAATTTTTTAAAATTTTTGAGAAAAAAAAAACATATATTTTGGCATGTAAATATATGAAATCGTTTGTAATAGAACTTGTATGTATCAAGTCTTATGTGAAAAACTATATTTTACATGTTTGGGATGTTTGTGGGAAGGTTTGGAATGAATTGTAAATGAAAGACAGGAGAAACAAACAATTTTGGGCAAAACTTACCGGCAGAACGGCAAAAACCTATCGGTAAATTGCAAGTAGGTTATAGGTAGAACTTGTCCAGTAGGAAAAACCTACCTGTAGATTATAGGTAGGTTACAGGTAGAACTTGCCCAGCAGGTAAAACCTACCGCTAGATTATAGATAGGTTACAGGTAGAACTTTTTCAGTGAACAAAACCTACCCTAAGTCCATAAAAACCTGCCGGTAGCTTTTCCAAAAATTTGAAATTTTAAGAATGCATTGTCATGCTTTTGGGTTATATGTTCTTTGGTTCTAAGGGTATAAATGGACATCAAATGAGCATAAATTGTAGCATATTGGACCTTGATTGGGCCAAATGGTAAAACATACATGAGTTAAACATGTGGGTTATAATCCCTGTTAAGGGAAAGTTATTGACGTGTCACCTAGTTGTGCGACAATTATGGGTAGTTTCGCGGGTTGACAGATGATCAACGGTTGAAAAAGGACCTCCGATTTTAGGGTCGTCACAATAGGCCTGGGAGATGCCACTTGCAGAAGTGCGTGCATTCAATCACTTTGATTATGAGTTTTCAACTCCAACTATTATAGCTCGCTGTGTTCATGAATGACAGTTTATCATCATCGTGAATGTGACTAAAGTAAAACCCTGCCATTGATTAGGGATTGTGCCCTAGTAGTGGAAAACAAAGATACAATAATAAGCATAAGTAAAAGAAGAAAATTGACCTTTGCGTAGGCAGAGAGTCAGCCCGAGCCACCATACTCTAGGGTTTTAACCAACTGTCAATGATTAATGAAAAAAATGACAAACCGGTGCACACAAAAAAAAATGCTTTTATTTAGGACGAAAATTCAAAATCAGTTAAGAAAGTATGAACATCAATCCACCATAATTGTTACACAAATACAATAACAAGTAATTTAAGTTTAAACTTTAAACCATATGAAATACATTAAAATTATAATTGCTTCGCTGTGGTAGTTCACCACAAATCATGTAACCGATCTGTTACTGTAGATGAAGGTTTGCGATTAGACCTTCCAAGCCAGACCACACCAGAGAGAGAGAGAGAGAGAGAGAGAGAGAGAGAGAGAGAGAGAGAACCTGGGTGGGAAGTCTGGAACGATGAAGGAGGAGCAGTGGAGTGATCGAGTGAGGTGTGAGGTACAGACGCTCTTGGGACTCGGTAGATTAGGGTTTTTTTATTTATATATATATATATATATATATATATATATATATATATATATATATATATATTTTAAAATTATTGCGGGTAGGGTAGGATAGGAATATGAAAATTGATAACTATTCCACATTCCTACCCGAAAATTGTCGGAAGACCAAAAACTCTTCCGCATTTCTACCCGATTTTTGCGGTTAGCCGTTTAGTAGGGTAGGGTAGAGTCGGGTAGGGTAAGAACTTGCGGCTGATCGAAAATTTGAACACTCCTACCCTGAACAAAAATGACCCTTTAATGGCACACCAAAATTTTGAAGTTAGTTTTTATTATAATAATAAAATAATACCGAAATTGTGGCCCCTTTACATACCCATATAAAATGCTGATTTTCTCACTGGTGGGCCAACTTGGGCCTTTTGAGTGGTCCCTTCTTTTTTTGTTTTTTTTGATCGGTGCCAATATAGAGAAGAAGAATTCGAACTAGGTACTGCCACAATACAAGTGGGAGATGTTTAACCATTGAGATAGGACTTCACTCCTTGAGTGGTCCTTAGCATGGTTGATACTTGATAGAGAGAGAGAGGGAGGGAGGGAAGGCCGCTTGGTAGGTCCATATCAAGACCATGAGGTTAAACCTAACAGGAATATATTGTACTCTTTAGAATATTATAAAAATACAATATATTTCTGTCAAGTTTTCCGTCTCTCTTTGTTTCTTCAATTTTGTGAAGAAGATTTTTGTCGTCATGCATGGGTGGCATCGGCTCTTATGAACCCATGGATAAACCAACCTTCCTAAGTCAATCAACACCTTTCCCAGTTCAACTTCTCTTAGTAAAGGCAGTTGTATACAAATGGATTTCTTGTTAATAGGTCATGAGCGGTTAAGCATAAATTAGAAAACTAAAAAAATAATAATAGAAGGAATTTGGATCCAGAGATGGGGGGGTGTGACAAAGGTTTTACATCAATGTTAATTAGTAAAGCATGGCAACCTCCTTCCTCCATCCTTTCTTCTGGTTTAGGTCTTAACTCATAAGTTCCGATATGTGAACAATTGGGGTGGGCAATGGGCAATATTAGTGGCGTGGGTTCAAATCCGACCCACTTGACCTAACCTGAAAAGGGGGTTAATGAATCCGTAATAGTGGAAGTATTTCAGTTAATCTAGCCACAACATCAACTTTCAACAAGTCTAGCTAGTTCTCTTCCCCTACAAAAAGAATGACATCAATACAACATTCTTAGCAGCACTGCCAAATGTACGAGCAAATGTAGAATTGTAAATTAAACCGCTTCATCTCTATACTTGTGTTTGATCACTACACCAAATCTATTTACTTAATTGGCTAACACTATCTTTGTCAAACAGGAAATTTCCGATCTACTTCTATCAGGTTGGTTGCTCACTTCCAAAACCCTAATCAACAGGTCCCATGGTTACCTCAGACACCAGTGAGATCCTTGAACTGCTGAGATTTTAGATGGCAGCACAAATTGGTGGCCCTTCGACTTTAAGTGTGCAATTAAAACTCGAGCTGGAGGGGGAGAATTGAGCTCTTTTTGTTTTCTTCCAGCTAAATACAATGCAAAATCGAAAAAGAATGGAGGACTCTAAATTCAGTAGTCCAAGCGTAATATGGTTGTACAAGATTCTAAGACGGATAATACACCACTATTCTGCTCCTAAGATGACACCAACAACTAACTGTAAGTCTCGCACATAATGATACTAAAATGAACAGTTAACGTTAAAAGGAGTTTGCTAACATAAATTGCAAATGATCAATAGACATATGCATCATCAAGACAATCAATTAATTACATTTTCAGGATTTGTACATGGAAGCACAAGAATTTTATGTACAGATGCACAAACAATGGTTGGAAGAGCTTAGCACTTCATCTACAGGAAGTCCCATTGCCAGTAGACCTTATCTACAATACCTCCACCATTTCGAACAGCAAAGTGGAGTGTTTCAGAAGCAGGAGGAACCCCCCAAAGTAGTGGCACTGCAACGGTCATAGTAAGCCTTTCATGAAAATCACCCTTGCTTGCTTTCTCTGCTGCAACAACCTGGAAATTGGAGAAACATATTAATGACACAAGCTAAAGAAAATGAACTATATGGAAAAAATTACATGCTCCCGGAATTGAAAAGATTGCAAAAATACTTCATCTTGTTGAATGCGATGAAATATAACGGGAATTCTGCACCCAACCCAAAAATGGAAATACCACAAGCTTCCGGAATTGAAAAGAATGCTTAAAAAGTATGTACCTCCCCACCATGTTCCAAAACAGTGTCTTCCACAACATCACTCAGCATCTCAATGGAACGGCAAAAGCCAAATATGCAAAGCCTTCTGCCCATATCAAGTCCCTATATTGACCAATTCCTAAAAACATAAGATAACATCCTCAAATAATCAAAAAGTTGCCAGGGAAACATCAGAAAGATTCTTTACATTGGTCGCTGCAATATCAAAGAGTGCACCCAAACACAACCCCTGGTTGGGATCCATGTAGTTACTCTCTTGGAAACGTTGAAGTCTTTGAGATGTTTTTCCTTTCCCCTGCTTCTTCTGTGTGCCAAAAATACACCTTGGTTCAGCTCATTATCTATGGTTTGACATGAATGATATTTCTCAAAAAGGGGAGGACAGAGGAGGGAGAATCAAGAATAAAAGTTACGGTACAAATTCCAGAAGGCATGAAGATCAAATGCCAAATTTTAGGTTCAAAGTACAGTGTTTCACATAACATTTTCAAAACCAGGAGGGTAAAAGTTAAGGATAAAATACAATAATGTTCCTAAATTATGTGCTCCATCTCACTGTGGACCTCACAATTTCAATCTTTGCAATTCCATCTATAGCTCCAGCTAAACTTGCTGGGTTACACCACAAAAAACCCTTCCCCTCCCACCCATTCCCCACCCACAACATGCATCCTAAACCTGCTAGACTACCAACCAACACAATACAGTCCCCTCCCTTCCCTCCATCATCAATTTACAACCCAGACCCATAAAACTACCCCCACCAGACAACCCCGACCCCCAAAACCAGGGGGGCCAGCTGGACTACGCGTGGGAACTCAAATTCCCCATACTCGAACCCACAACCATCACTCGAATTCACCATTCTATCAATCCCAAATTCCATCCCCACAATCTGAAAACATGAAATCCATATATACATAAATATATATGTATATTTGTTTACAGCAAGTACCACAGTAGAAAGGATTCATTAGTATTTTCTTTTTAAGAACAAATCATTCCCTATGATCTGAAATGGATTGGGAATTTGAGGTTAGTCCTGTTTATCTGGAACAATACTCTAACAAAATTAGTCTTGCACAGAGCAATATAAAAGCTTATTTCTTATTAGTAAAGTCATAGAGACTAAAATGTGGGAAAAGATTGGACAACAAACCAAGTTATGTGGTACTTTCCAGTCATTTGACTTATAATCACTAAAAGCACCGACTGGTTCTTTAGTTTGCACACTTCTTCTCTCTCCTATTCATATAAATGTCAAAGATGACCATCATGGACAATTACCCTACATGCAAAGAAGGAATACGTCGAGGGACCAGAGAGCCTCCTATCTGGATGAGTCCATCAGTGGTGAACAATGTGACTCTCTCCTCAGGAACCCATTGTATGGCTGTAAGCACAAAAAACAAAAACCAATAATTCGCATGACTTTCCCATAACACAACCACCACCCAAAGTTGACAATTAAATTGTATGGAAATAAGTTTGTACTTGGTCACTTACACAGTACCATTAGAGCACATGCACATACCATAGTCATGCACAGAAATGTGATTCTAATCTTAATTAAACAATGAGAAGAAATAACCAGTCACAACTCACATGTCCCAACATAGTGACAGCTGACAAGGAAACAGTTTGTCACTACATTTATAAAAGTTTGAATATCTTACTTCAGACGCTATAGAAGAAAGGTAACTCCTAGTCTCATCTCTAGGAATGAAACATAACACCTCATATAGAATTATAGAAAAATAAGAAGAAAAGGTGCTGTTACTAAATTAAGTTATATCTCACCAAAGAAGGTAAAAGTTTCATAAACAAGGTTACAAGTTTGACTTTGGTTCTGTACTAGCAATAACCCATGCCTAAAGGCACTTGGTAGCACAAATAAATTGAACATTAGTCATGTAGCATAAATATATGAAATAATAATTTATTTGTCTTTATTTTATATAATTACACAATTCAAAATCAATCGTGTTACACCATTTAAAAGGCATGGGGTGGGTAGAATTTTTAATTTTGCGGGAATCTGACATTGATTAGTGTAAAGAGGTATGGGCTGTGTGGAGTTTTCAAGTTTTTTTTTTTTTTTGGTGGGGGGTTAACTTTTTTGAGGATGATTTTGAGCCATTGGATTGAATGAATCTCAACCACTCTTGCCGTAAGCTAAGTTAAGGGGTTTAAAATGGATCCTGTTTTATTAGATAAATAGCGCATTCTATTCCATATGATAATTCAAATCAGGGATGATATGCATTCCAAATGGAATAATGGCCTAAGAGATTGTTATCCAACTTCAAATTGAAACCAAATTAACCAATCATATGAATGTTTATCATGCCGAGATTTAAATGCGAAAATTTGTAATTAATCAATTGAAAACAAGGAATCCCATTACAAATTCAACTATCAAATTCGTCCATATTGATCATCAAAGTTCAAACACAGATTCAAACACAAATGTGAAATATTAATGCAAAGTACATTAATTGCACAAGCTTTCAATACTATTAACAGAAATTAAGGTTTCAGAAGTGCAAAGGATATAAAACATGTAAAAACAACTATTTTCATGCAAATCATTTTCAAATAGGTACACAATACATTAATATCAGCAATTTATACTAATGATGCATCCATCAATAAATATCAGAAATCTATTTTCATACCACTCTCTCCATCAGAGGATTCCCAAGGATAGAACCCAAAAGCGTCGTCACCAAGAAAATTGCCAGAATTGGAACCTTTGGCAGCTAAACGAAAGAATTGTCGTGAGGATTGAGGACGAGAGAGAGAAAAACTAGAAATCCAATTAAGAGGCGTGGCGGAGACGGAAGAAGAGGTTTCCTTGGACCGAGAAATGGAGGAGAGAGAAGAGGAAGCGAAGGTGAAGCAGAGAGCAGAGGTTTCCGCCATTGTAGAGGGAGAAGGATAGAGACAGAAAGACAGAGTCTTGGAGAGAGAGAATCAAGAATCTGACTTGGAGAGAGAAAATCAAGAATCTGATGGCTTTGGTTTTGAAGAATTGTTGGGTGGGGGGAGAGATTCTGATGAAATATAGAGGTCGAAGAGAAAGGGCAAGTGCAATGTTGAAAGGTCGACGCTGGGATGCCACGTGGACTAGATGACGGTTTTATTACATTGGGGTTGGAGGCTTTTAAACCGGGTTTGAGATGGTTGGTCGGTTGGTCCTAAGGCTGTATGAGTAAACTAGCGATAATTGGTGCATAAGAACATTACATAATATCAAAATTATTATGTAATATTTATATTTTAAATAATAAGTTAATTTTTTTAATTATATAATTTAAAATTAAAATACTAAATAAAAAATAAAGAGGTAGGTAGATTGGTGATATTGTTTCATATTATAGAGTGTATTGCTTGAATTGTCTGATATTAGAACGTCTGTGCAATGTTTTATTTTTATAAGTTGAAAATTTAACTTTTTAACTATAATATTATGTAAATATTCAACATAATAGTGATACAATGTGATGACCATGTAATATAATTATCTTGATTGGTCAAGTCCAAATGGCCTAATCTATGTGGAAAATTCAAATTTCAATGGAGGAGCCCAACCTCATTAAAGATCTACCAAGTCCAACATAGTCCAAAACCAGTCAGACTTTCTGCTTATCCACGTCATCAAGAGGGAGAGCATGGAGGCCTTACCTGCATCGCAGAAGGAAACGATCCACCATCACCTTATCTTTGACTGCATCTCATGGAGAACTCTTCAACCACCTCGCCTGTTAAGAAGAAGTCGTGAGCTCCACCGAAATGGTTGCTTAGTTGCTGAAAAATAGCCCTAACCTGTTAGGGGGCTACTATAAATTGCACGCCCTGCTAATAGTTAGGGGGCATCACTTTTTACCTGAGCATGATTCTCTCCTTTCGCTCAAAACTTATATTCTCTGATCCCCACACTCTTGAGTTAATAAAGTACCTGGCGGCCAGAGCCATTCAAGAATGGACGTAGGTCGAGTTGACCGAACCACTATAAATTGCTTGTGTCTCTTCATCTCCTTATATTATTTTTTGCATTTATTATTCACACTTAACAGGTGGTGTGCAAAATCATTTTGTGCATCATCAGTTTGGCGCCGTCTGTGAGAACGACTAAATTCGCACTTTTAAACACTCCCTCTGTTGAACCTATGACGATCACCACTCGATCCATGAACCAACACGAAGACAATCCACCACGAGAGGAGAAGGTTGCTCCTCCACCTACAAACCCCGTCCAGAATGCTCCAGCTCCAAATTTCCAGCAAATGTTGGAGACCATGCAGTAGCTGGTGGCCCCAAACCAACAGATAATGCAACTCATGCTTGCTGGACAAGGAGGAGCACAACTTGGAGATGCATAACATGAAGGACCCTAAGGAGCTCCACGCCCTGGACATGAAGGAGTTCCACCCCCTATTGCTCCACACGTAGGCACCCCCTACAAGACTGGGCCCACACAAGGGAGCCCCTCATGAGGGAGTTCCACCCCCTCCTCCTCCTCTTGCTTCCCATGATGAGGACCCTCGTTTCCAAGAAGATGAGGGTGAGAACCAAAGCATAGAGTATAAGAGTCATTTCCATGATCATTTCAGGGGACCTCCCAACCATTGAGACGAGAAGATCAAGGAAGTGCAAAATTAATTGGGTGACGTCTTCAATGCCATGAAGGCGCAGGGACTCGAGACAGTAGACTACCTGTTAAGGCGTACATACACGCCCTTCAAGTCTGACGTGGCGAACTATCCCCTTCCTCAGAAGTTCAAAATGCCATTTCGTGGAGACCTTTGATGGAACAAAAGATCCACTAGACTACCTTGATACCTACAAAACTCTAATGCAGCTGCACAACGTCCCAGACGAAATTATGTGCAGAGCATTCCCAACCACATTAAAGGGGTCTACACGACATTGGTTCGCTAAGCTCTCCCTAGCCTCCATCGCCTCATTTGCTAAGCAGAACAGGTCATTCGTATCGCATTTCATTAGGGGACGTCGCCAACAGAAGCCTGTCACCCATCTACTTAGCATAAAGCAGGACCGGGAGGAGAGCCTAAGGAGCTACCTCACTCATTTTAACGAGGAGGTACTCCAAGTTAATGAGCCCGACGATAAAGTGACGATGACCGCCTTCTTGGGAGGCATTTGCTCGTCAATTTCCTCTTCTTTAAAGATGAAGCGTCCACTAAAGAACATGTCGAAGCTTCTAACAAAGGCCAAAAATACATGAATGCTGAGGACATCACAAGGGTCAGGCGAGGTGAGACATCTAGAGCAGGGGAAAAGAGGAAGGAAAAGGAGAGAGAAGATAAGAAGGAGACTAGCAACAAACGCGGTAGAACAAAGAGGGTTCCTATGAAAGATCGGCTAGGACCTGCTCCTCAGAGGGATTGACAAGTCTTCACTCCCCTCAATGCTGCTGTTGGGCACATCCTGTTCCAGATCTAGGATGACCCCCCCCCCCATAAAGTGGCTAAGGAAGATGAAGTGTCCTCCAAATCGCAGAAATCCTAACTAGTACTGTCGTTTCCACCGCGACTATGGGCATGACATCGATGATTGCTATGACCTCAAAAGACAAATTGAGGAACTCATCCACCGTGGCCACATATGCCAGTATGTTGCTGGCAGAGAATAAGCACCACCACCTCACAATCAAGAAGACTAACAACCCGTAGGGGAGATTCACACCATCTCGGGAGGACTAGCAGGAGGTGAAGAATCACTCTCTTCAATGAAGGCCCACGCTAGAAAGGCAAGACACCTCGACGAGATACGCCCATCCAAAGTGCCAAATCAGGGCGACAACGAGGCTATATCTTTCTCAGATAAGGACCTAGAGGGAATCCAACACCCCTATGACGACCCCTTGGTGCTTACCATGACCGTGGCCAATTTTTAGGTACGCCGGATCCTGGTGGATAGTGGCAGCTCTGCGGATATCCTATTCGTAGAGGCTTATGATAAGCTCAACTTGGGTAGGGAGAGACTGCAGCCTATTAGATCACCCTTCATTGGGTTCTCAGGGGAAAAGGTATATCCCCTAGCGTCCATCACCCTACCTGTCACTGCCAGAGCAGCCCTGGAAGCTCTACAGTTATGGTCAATTTCTTGGTTATAGACTGCCCATCAGCCTACAATATTATATTGGGGCGACCTGCTCTTAACACATTACGAGTTGTGCCCTTCACCTATTACCTCATCCTCCACTTTCCAACCACGAATGGAGTCTGAGAAGTCAAAGGAGACCAGGTAGCAGCGAGGGAGTGCTATGTCTCCTCCATGAAGACCAGGAAGCCATAAAAAATGTGGCAAGTTGAGGTCCTTGATCCGAGGGATGACGCCACCATAGAGAGAGGAGAACAAGTCGAGGAGCTCACCCCTATGGCCTTGGATGAGGAGCACCCAGACAAAAGAGTATACATTGGCTCTTCCTTTTTTGAAGACGTGGTTGGCCTACTAATAGAATTTTTGAGACATAACATGGACGTCTTTGCATGGTCACATGCAGACCTTGAGGGAATTGACCCAGAAATGGCCACACACCGTCTCAATGTAGACCCACGCCACAAGCCTGTTCGCCAAAAGCTAAGGGGTGCCTCCACTAAAAGGGCCTAAGCTATGGATATGGATGTAAGAAAGCTAATAGATAATGGGCCCATCAGAGAAGTAGCATATCTTGAGTGGCTCTCCAACATGGTGATGGTCACTAAAACTAATGGAAAATGGAGTCTCTGCGTCGACTTCACATAACTCAACAAGGCGTGCCCGAAAGACAGCTACTCGCTGCCTCAGATTAACCTCCTCATCGATGCCACCACAGGGCATGAGTTGCTCACTTTCCTGGATGCTTACTCTGGGTACAACCAGATTAGCATGTACCCCCAGACCAGGAGAAAACATCATTTATCACTCTGAAGGGAACCTATTGCTACAGGGTCATGCCTTTCGGACTAAAGAATGTAGGAGCAACCTACCAATGGTTAGTGAACAAGATATTCCAGTCTCATATTGGATGAATGATGGAGGTGTACGTGGATAACATGCTGGTGAAAAGTCTTGTAGCAGTAGACCACATTGATCACCTCCAAGAAACTTTTAATGTCCTAAGATCTTATCACATGAAGCTCAATCCTGAGAAGTGCGCCTTCGGCGTGGGGTCTAGAAAATTCTTGGGCTTTATGGTCAATCAGAGGGGAATTGAGGTGAACCCCGATAAAATCAAGGCCATCCTTGACATGAAGTCACCTTCCTAGACCAAGGAACTCTAGCGCCTCAATGGAAAAATCACTGCACTCAATAGGTTCATTTCCAAATCTGCAGATAAATGTCTACCCTTTTTCAAGATTCTCCGGAAGGCCTTTGAGTGGGAGCCTGAGGTGAAGGAGGCCTTCCAAAGGCTCAAGGACTACCTAGCTTCACCTCCCCTCCTATCACATGCCACTCTGAGAAAAACTCTCAATCTTTATCTTTCTGATTCCTCATCAGCAGTAAACTCAGTACTCATCAGAAATGATAATGGAGTGCAAAAGCCAATTTATGACGTGAGCAGGGCATACCGGGGGGCAGAGATCAGATATTCAGGATTAGAAAATTTGGTGCTCGCCCTGATCATGACGACGAGATGACTACGACACTACTTTCAGAGTCACAGTATAGTGGTCGTCACAAACCAACCTCTTAAAAGAATCTTGGGAAAGCTAGACGTATCCGACAGACTTCTTAAATGGGCAGTGGAACTCGGGAAGTTTGATATTCAGTACCAACTAAGGGCAACCATCAAAGCACAAGCCCTAGTAAACTTCATTGCCGAACTCACACTAGCTGAAGAAGGAACTGCAGGGATGCCTAGATGACCAACGGGGACACCTAGAAGCCTAGCAAAGACTCTCAGACGCCCAGGT